ACCCAGAAAGGGAGGTAAATCTCTTGGCCAGAGTAATCCATACTTCATGACTTGATTGACAATGAATCACAGATGTGAAAATAGATGGAGATAGTGTAGCAGTGATACAAATCATCAGCTGTGCATCAATAGTATTCCATAAAGTGTATCACTGCTACAAAATTAAAAATAAAAAAGAAAAGAAAAGAAAAAGGTAAGAGGAGATGACACAAAATTAGAAAGGCTAATATTATGATACACACTCTACAAAATTATAACATTTGTGTGTTTGATTACCATAAATATCATAATTCAATATTAGAGGAGTCATAACTTTAAAAAATAATGAGTTATAACCAAATATTACTTAAGGTATAATTAAAGAACTCTTGAATCATAACTCATAACCAATATCACAAAGAGTCATAATTGATACCACAATAGATCATAATCAATGACCATAAAAGGCATACCCGATTGTGCATATGGTACTATAAAATTTCTCAATTAAGAATTTTTTACCGATTTTATAAATATTGTGATGTATTTAATTTAGGAATTTTTTTCCCCACATAATGCAATCTTATTAAATATATTGTGATATATTTAATTTAGGAATTTTTTTCCCCACATAATGCAATCTTATTAAATATATTGTGATATATTTAATTTAGGAATTTTTTTCCCCACATAATGCAATCTTATATTATATTATATCCGTGAAAAGATGTTTTAAACAAAAAAAATCACATAATTATATGAATACTATTATGTGTTACTCTACATAACTTGACCATGAGTTATTGCTCGTAACTAAAGTGGTCACTTACATAATCAAAGTGCATCTATATGGTATTTAATGCACATCTAAGAGTTTTTCATTTTTTTAAATGTTTAAATTCTATGACTTTCATTCTCTTATGTGAAATTTATATTTTTTAAAACAAGATCAATAACCAAGACAAAACTTTGTTAAAAGAATTGCGATTTAAAGAAAAACTTTTTCAAATTTTAGAAATTACCAATGAAAAAAAGAAAGAAAGAAAGAAAAAAAAAAAACCATTTCCATATTCAATATGGATATTATTTTATAGATTTAAATGAGTAGATATATATATATATATATATAATATTTATAAAAATTAATGTGTATAATAAAAGTTATGTCATTTTAATTGAGGAAAAAAAAAAGCTAACTTAACAACTCAATAACATCGTTGATGGAGTAAATTATTTAATACTTTCAAAATATCACGTAATATTACTCATATGGTACTTTTAAATAAGTAATAACATAAAAATTATTAATTATGAGATAATATTGACTCACTTATTTAAGGGGAATTTTTTTTAAGGTCTCTGATATTAAGATTTTATGAGATAAATGATATAAACATTTTCACAAAGAAAATTCAACACAGAGAAATTTTTTCCGACTCAGAGAAATTTGGCCTCGACTCAGAGAAATTTCTCTATGATCACACTAGAGAAATTTTTTCTTTGTGAAAATTGAAATTTTTCTAAGTCGGGGTCGAAATTTCTCTGAGTATGACAAAATTTCTGAGTCAAATTTTCTCTGTGAAAATATTGAGGGACCTTAACTAATAAAGAAAAAATATCTTGGATCTCTCCTACTACATAAAGTTACAGAGAAATGTTTCACTAATTTTTTAATTTTTAAGATAGTTGGTAGATAAAGGAGAATTCACCTTGTATGTTTTAATGGTTTTAAGACCCCTTAATACTCTAAAATTATCAAATAATTTTCCATTATGACGTAATTTTGGAGGACTTTAAGGCCACTCATAGTCCTTAATTTGTATAACATATTTACCAAACCCAAACAAACGTCGTCATCTATCTCACTGATCAATGCCATAAACTTCTCTCCTCCCAAGTTTCTCTCTCATCATCGTCCTCATCACGGGTCGCTACTTGGCCTAATCAGCCACAACAAACAACAAAATGAAGCAAAAAAAATTAAGAAAAAAAGAGAGGCACAGATGATGTTGGTGGAGACAAAGTGGTGACCGATTGTGGTTTGTGATTGTTGTGCTGCTTTTCACGGCTGCACGATGTGCGATGATTTGGTGGCGATGACCACGGCCACATGTGTGTCACGGCTTGATGAAAAAGAAAAAAAGAAATTGGGTGAAGCCTCTCATAAGGGATAATACTTGGAAAAAAAATAAAATTAAAAAAGATAGGATTTAGTTATGTAATGTTAAAATTGTAATTTTGTTATGATATAAAATGGTAATATAGTAATTTTATAATGTCCCTTAGCACTGTCCAGTTCATTGTTATTATAACAAAGATTAGTATAATTATTTAAAAATATAAGACTAATTATAATATTTCTTTAAGTTTCAAAGACAATCAATTCAATTTATTTATTTTTTAACGTCACATAAAATAGAATAATGCCATGCCCTAAATATAAGTCTAATTTATTTTTTATACTGTCAATGTCAATAACGAGGCTTATAATGTAATCTATACTTTCAAAAAAGTAGTTTATTTTTATTTTTTGAAAAAATAACAGCCTAGTTGTAACAGAATTTTTTTTACAAATCATTGATAAAATTTATACACTTTAATAATTAAAATGTTTTACTTTTTTATAATTTTGTAATTTTTTTTTGGAACATTAGTCTAAAGTTCCTCTCTCATTTTTAGTAATAAAAGAGATCTACAATATTATTTTATGATGTCTAAAGTCCCACAACCCCACACTCATATATTACAGAGAAATTTGACTTGAAAAATCAAACCTCATTTCTCTCTCTACCTTCTTCATTTCATCTCTCTCTCTCTCTCTCTCTCTCTCTCTCTCTCTAAATCCAAACCTCACTTCACTCCCTTCAATGGCCGTCGCCGCCCCCTCCACGACCACCATGAGACTAGGTGACCGTAATCGCAATCCCAATCGACAACTTGGACATGATTGTCACATCCTATCGCAACAAATCCCTCATAGTCTGGCACTTCACCAAGAAAGACAGAGTCTACAGCCTCCCCTGCCGCCACTATCGCCTCACCGGCCACTCTCACTTCATTGAAGACATCGTCCTCTCTTCTGACGACTAGTTTGCTCTCTTCGGCAGTTGGGACTCTGAGCTCCGCCTCTGGGACCTCTCCACCGGCATCAGTGCTCGCCGTTTGTCGGCTACTCCAAAGACGTCTTCTCCGTCGTTTTCTCTTTTGATAATCGCCAAATTGTCTCAGTTTCCTGAGACCGTTCGATCAAGCTGTGGATCTCAAGGTTGTCGTTTGAATCCATATTTTAGTCCACAAATTACAAAGTGTAGTACTTCCTCATAACATTTTGAGTCATTTATATCTGAGTTAAAATTTTAGGAATAATATTTGGAATCTCTATCTCGGAAGGCTTTGAGGCCTCTGCTAATACCAAATCTTAATGCTCGCCTCAATAGGAACATTGAGCCAGCACCTATTAATTTTCTCTGTGTTATTCAATTTCCTTTGAATTTCTCTGCTTTGAACACAGAGAAATTTCAATTTTCTCTATGTTGTTCAATTTTCTCTGGTTTGAACCCAGAGAAATTATTTGCGAAGTCCAGAATTTTTCTAGAGAGAATTTCTCTGGATTGAAATTTATCTGGATCAATGTTGAGGGACCTTAGACATTATGAAAATATTAAATATCTTTTATGTTATGAAATTTTAATATTAGGGATCCTAAAAAAAAAAATCCCATTTTTTTTTCTTGTTACATTGTACGACTATTTCCCTTTTTGTTTTTAAACCAATGAAAAACTTTTATTTTTATTTTTTTAAGTGCGAATATATCATATTTTCTGTTTATGGGATATGGAATAGAGAGATATATACATTTATATCCTACGTGTTGAAGAAGCCTAAGTAGGTGTTTGACATGCATTAAGAAAGTATATTTTTTTTGCATACATACATTTATTTAGGTCATATCAATTAACATCTATCAACATTTCCTCTTTATTTTTTTACACACTTTTTCTATTTTTCTACACATTTTTTTTTATAAAAAATTAAAAAATACATTTATTTAAAACATCCCAAACCACCCTCTAAACGTTTTTGGTCCCCTCAATAATTGTTCCATCAACCACGTTATTACCTCCGCCCAAATGTCTTTGGTTTGCTTTCGATAGACTGTTACGGCCATCAACCACGTTATTAGCTCTGCCCGAATGTCTTTGGTCTGCTCTCGATAGACTGTTAAACCAATGAAAAACGTTTTATTTTTTATTTTTTTAAAAGTGCGAATATGTCATATTTTCTGTTTGTGGGATATGGAATGAAGAGACAATACAGTTGTACATTTATATCCTACGTGTTAAAAAAAATATTTTTTTTATATGCATATATTTATTTAGGTTACATCAATCAACATTTATCAATATTTCCTTTCTACTTTTTTACATACTTTCTTTACTTTTCTACAAAATTTTTTTTATATATAAAAAGTCAAACAGTATACTTAGGGTTGGTTTAGGATGTTCTAAAAAAGTGCACTTTTTGACTTATTGGCTTATATGGGTTGGATTTGGGTTGGGTTTGATGTGATGAGTTAGAGAGCTGATATGATTTAAATAAGATGATGTGACTTAAATAAGATAGTAACTTTTTGACTTTTTGTATTATTTAGTAGATGTCAGACTTGGCCTATTTAGAATATCTCAAATCATTCGTAAATATTTTTGGTCCCCTCAATTATTGTTCCATCAACCACGTTATTAGCTCCGCCAATGTCTTTGGTCTGCTCTCGATAGACTGTTATGGCCACCAAGTTAACAAGAACGCTAAGTATATATAACATCACAAAAATTCATAATTTTTGTTATAAAGTAATATATATAATTTTTTATTACAAAAATTATAATTTTCACTACAAAATTACATAACTTTATGCATACCTTATTTTGTCATTCATAAATTTCATAATACACATCACAAAAAAACAAAAACAGAAAATTAAGAACAAAATAATTCTCCACTTGAAATGCATTGAATGATTTCATTTCATATTACAATGTTTCCAGGAAATCTATTAATCCCGACCTCGTGAAGCAGAGAATTATTTGTATTAGTTCTGTTACAAATATAAAAATTAAATATAGAAGCACACGCAATACACTTAAATAAATAAAATTTTATAAAATTTATTAATAAACCCACTTTTAAAAAAGGAGAAACTACATTTAGGTGAAAAAAAATAAAAATAATTATCAACATATGAGGGGTGCAAAATATTTCATTTACACCCCACCACAGGCACACTTCCACCCCCATGTGCTAATAATTTCTTTTTCTTTTTCCTACCTACATGTAGTTTCCCCTTTAAAAAATCTTATTGGTCTAGATATATTTTGTATCTAGATTGTGATTTGTTTTGCTTTGCTTTTTTATTATGATATTGGCACGGGATCGATGAGTACTGAGGTTACAAAACCTTTAAGCCTAGTTCCGGAATGAGTGTAACTATCTTCATCCTTGTATAAAACATCTATCACTCGTGCAAGATTGACTACTCATAATAACAAAGGCATTGGGACCTCGATTGGATGGAGGCACTCTGCATTTATATCTTTCCATGCATTTGTAACTTGTTTGTGAAATTCAATGAGCACTTCTTCCTCCGATGCATCATGCTGTTTCATGTAACATTCCACTGCCGAAGCTACGTGACCTCTCTTTTGCTCAAACTACAATAAGCGTTACATGATGGTTAGAGAATATGATAATTAAAAAGCCAAAATAATTAAAAAGCCCACTATTTTTGGCTTTTTTTGGACTTATTTTGAAATTTTTTATAAAAAAAATTAAAATTTTCGATTCATCTCGTCAAGCTAAATTTAAAAGTCTAATATTTTTTAATTAATTAATTTATTTATTTATAATTCAGTAAAGATGAACTAAGCTCACCACATTAACAACATTAACAATACCGCGTGATCATCGGGATTACAACATAATACACAATTTTGCAAGACTTCTGATTTATCTTATTACCTTGCGGCTAACTATGTCATCCATGAGTCTGCAAACTACCGATGAAGCTTGAACAATTAAAGGACCACTTGACACCCAATCAAAGGCCTCTTTGGACACCACCTCTCCCATGCCCATCAAGGAAGAGGTTGTTAACATTGTGTAACAAGAAGTTACTAGAGCAACTCGCATATACTCTTCGATACTTGGAACATAGCCTTGGTGAAACCATTTGGCTTCTTCAAAGTATGCTCTAACTAAAATTTTCATCTGAGATATGAACAAAATCGATCACTATTATTGCTTTTTGATCAAATTTCACATATAATCTTATTGCTAATCACAAATTGTTTGTTTGTAACCAATCAGTACGAGGCTTACTGCAGATTTTGCGTAGTGGACGCGATATGAAGTTTCTTTCCTGGCCATCTCTTCATCAATCATGTTGTAAACATCTAGAAGTGCTTGATAACATGGTTTCATGTATTCTGGAAGTTGATCTATGGCACTGATTTCCCACCTGAAATACAGATAGATAATGAACAATTGAAGAGATTTTGATACTTCTATGAGATCAAATGCAAAGTTCATTAACGTTGTGTTTGGTTGGGGATTTCGGAAGGGATTTGGAAAGGGAAAAGGAAAATAAGGTGAAATGTGAATAAAATATATTTGTATTTCATCTAATTTCACACACTTTTTTCCTTTCCATTTCCAAATCATTTTCCAAATCTCTCAACCAAATAAAGCGTAAGGGAATGAATCGGTTTGAACCTCTCAATTGCATCAGTGAATAGCACAAGTTCTTCTAAAGTACCATAGACATCATAGATGTCATCAATAATGGAAGTCAAGGCAGTCACTTTGGTTAGCATCCTTCTAGCAAGTAGGTATTGGGGCTCAAAATAAACTCCCAATATCCAAAAATAGCACTCCACCATTCTGTCTCTTGCAAAAGGCATTTTCTTTGCAAAGTCCAATTCTTTCCACCACCTGAAATATGTAATAAGATCTATGTTAGTCAATTTTTAAACCACTTCAACATGACTGGAAAAGTGTGACTTGATTTACAACCTTACGGATCCATAAAAAATATTCAAAAAAAATGCTTAGAATTTGAAATGTATGGATCAAAAAAGTGCACAATTTAAATTTATACTATACATTTAAATTCTGGGAATTTCCATTTTTTTTTTCTGGGCATAAATTTATGCAAGTCACCTTGTGATTTCACTTAGCTCCCATTGGTGCATTTTTTGCAATAGGTTGAAATCTAATTTTGCAAAATTCAGTAGAACTTTATTGTGAGAATCATCTTGCTCATAGAAGAAGAAGTAACGGGTTGCCTCTAGCCTTGTCAAGCCCTTGTGTATGGGCTGATTCAGAGCATGAATTACTTGTTCTTGAACAAGATTGCTCAAGTTGGATACCGCAGACTCAAGGTGAGTGATGGTAAAAGACAGTGCTTCATCTAGTATATCTTCTCCTCGCACCCTAAGATGTGCAGCCTCATACAAGCTTAACATTCCTCTCACATCGCCAATTAAGGATTCGCGAATTTTGCCATTGTCGTCCTTGAATTTGTTGAACACATCTGCGTAACCCATCCAACACATGATATATTAGTGTGGCCAAACTAACATATGGACTTGTATGGCTGTGTTTGACTGTTTTAGCCTTGTTCAGATACCATCAGATGCCAAAACATCAAATGCATGGCAAATGAGACTTGCCACAAGAGATGGGATATCCTTGTTGTCTAAGCAACCGAAACAAGAGAGCAATAGTATAAAGATCATCCTTGGCTTTGTCATCATGGTGATCATAATCGGTTTCATATATGTGTTGTAAAGCTGTCTCAATCTCACTTTCAAAATGGTAAGACACCCCTAGGCGTTGGATTGCATCGATGAAGTTCAGTTTCTGTGAAAGCTGATCATTAGCTGCCACTAGCATCTTTCTCACTTCCTCTTTCTGCTGCTGAAGTTGTTGGCCCATTTTAACATCCACTTCCTACATAAACAATGAGAATATAGGATATGTACAAAGAAAATTATATTCTGACACAAAATTTATACATAAAATACAGCAACAATAATTGGATAATGTTATTTTTGTAAATGAAATCAAACTTCACTGTTCATAAGTAATGTTATTTTTCAAAAGGATATTGTGAATTTGAAAAATAATAACCAAATTAGTTATTATCAAGTGTTTTTATATGAAACAGAGATATATGAAAACAGAGTTGTTGCTTCATGTTAACATCTACTTCCTGCAACATGAAAACATATATATATATATATATATATAAGTGCATGTGTCCAACAAAATTTCATGATAATAAACATGGTTGTTCAACAAAAATCCATGTAGTTTCTTTCGTGTCCATGTTGTCAGATTTTAAATATCAGTTGATATGTAATAAGATTTTAGACTTTTGGTACCAATATTTATAGATATATTGGTCGATACTATTTGATATCGATTGATATATAATCGTATCCTTATTAATACCTGTTCTAATATTATTATTTAAAACCATGCACACGGATATTAAATATGTGCAATGCTAGCAAATCCAATTTTACCGTGGCATGAGAGGCGTATACGAGGAAATGATCTCCCCAAATGCTAGGATGATAATTGGCAGAGCGTCGAGTGACCTCCGGTACCATATTTTTGGTTGAATCAGGAATAGGTAAAGCATGAATAGATAATTCCATGTTCTTGTTTTTGTTTTTGGTTGTGACGAGAAAATGGAAGTGAACAAGAACACTCTTGTGGCCCCTTTTTTTTTTCTTTTTTCTTTCTCCTCTTGGTTGTGGCTGATATGGACTGAAGAGCTCTAGTGCTTTGTTATTTATACTGCAATCCCATGTATTTGGAGGCGAAACATTAAGGAAGAATCCGAGTTCGTGCACGTGAAATTTACGCTCCAATTTCTACTAAACTAAAAAACAAATGTGGACATCAAATTGAAAAAACTGACCAAATTGATTAAACCGAGCCAAACAGTCCATATTTTGTTTGTTTTTTAACAAGGAAAGAATTGGTCTGTGTTGTTTTTATGTTTGATTTTTTTTTTTTTTTAAATTTTCAGTTCAGTATTAGTTTTAGCACCTTATGCACTGAACCAACTGAAACCGACCGTTTTAACATATATTGTATTTATAATATACATATATAAAATAATATAATAATATTAATAATTATAATAAATTATTAATATCAATTAATTTACCCGATCATCCAATAACCTAAGTTAGTGTGCCCTTATTATATATAATACTAACTCTAACGCACTATTGCTGAAGTCTTAATGTTTATTATTAGTTTTTGATTGTATTTTTGTTAATCTAAAAATTGTAAAATATTTATTAAATGGATTGATAGGATATGTTTGAAATAGTTGACAAGTGACTATACTAAAAAATGGCTTAAATTTGAAAGATATTAAACCAATCCAAACGTACCAAACCGAACTATTTCAATTGGTGTGGTTCGGTGCGATTTCATGGGAGAAACGGTCTATATGATATTCAAAATAATAAAATAGACATTATTGATTTGATAAATTTTTTTACCTAAATACCTGTTTGAAAATAATGGTTTTTTGGTGACTTTAATGCAATATTAAAGTGGGTTTCAATTCTCAATTGAGGTGGATTAAAGTGGGTTTAAAGTCTTTGTACTAAAATCTTTACACCACAAAAAAAAAATAACAAAAAATCATTAAGATTTGAATGAGAAATTGACTCATTAAGTTGGCCTCATGAAAGAGGTGTTGGGAAAGGTATAAAACTTTCTATCCCACATTGATTGTAGAGGAGAGTTGTAATGACCCTAATTTTTCGTAAATCATTGTTTATTTATTATAATTTATTTTATTTTTGGTTTTAATAATTGCATGGTTACATGAGAATTTAATGTGTTATTTAATTAATTTAACGTGATAGTTAACTATATATAATTAATCTGAATATTTATATATTTATATTTTCTATATAAAAAAAAGTGTTTTATATATTGATAAAATATATATCATATTTATCTATGTTGTATTTATGTGGTATTTATAAAATATAATATAATATAAATGTCAATTAGGTTATAAGCATAAGGAAGAAGAAGAAAAAGTAAAAAAAGAAAGAGAAAGGGCTATGTGTGGCCAGCCGAGAGAGAGAGAGAGAGAGAGGAGACAGGAGAAAGAAAGGGTTATGGTTTTATTTTGGTGGCTTTAATTCTTCAAGTGATTCTTTGATCTTTAAGAAAATATTGTGAGCGCAAAATCTATTTTCCTTGATTTATGTTTAATTCGTTATTTTTATTTATTTGATGCTAGTTTGATTTTTTATTTGCATGTAGATGATGAATTGATTTCATTATTTGGTTAGATATGTATGTAAGGTTTAGAGTTTTTACGTATATTTATTTTATGGATGTAATCACACTCATGGTTATATGAAATTAAAATAAACTTAGAACCCATCACTACAAAAAATCAAGTTTTTAGAGACCAAAATTTAGTGAGAAAATTATTTTTTAGGGATCAAATATTTTTGTTGCGAAAAGTGTCGTTATTATATTTTTAACAACAAAAATTAGACATTAGTGATGAAATATTATCCTTTTGGGACCAAATTTTTTGTCTCAAAAAATAAACTATTTTGAGACTAAATTATTTTGTCCCTAAAAATCTATTTATTAGTGACATTTTCAAAATTTTGTCGCTAAAAGTCTTATTTTGGACTTTTCAGGACGACCTTTTAGCGACTATCCTCATGACGATAGAAATTGGTTCCTAAATGTCTTTTGTAACAAAAATTTGGTCTCTAAAACTCTTATTTGTTGTAGTACATATATAATTCCGAATACTCCATCATAACTCAATAGATTATTGTTTTATTTGAGTGTTGGTGAGAAAAAGAATATAAAAAAAGAGGTGAGGATTATGAAATTTATTTGAATGCCTTAGGTTTGGCATTGTAATGTTTGTTCTCATGAGTAGATGAGAGGTTCTGTATATATATATTGTTGCCTTGTTCTCAGGAGTAGACAAATGGTTTGATTTATGCGCGTACGTATTTGCTAACCATCCAAGAGTGTGGGTCAAACTCGGGACTAGAGATGGCAATGGATAACCTACCCTGTGGGTATCCATGGAGACCCAACCCAAATACATGGGTTTTCCCTTTTTTTTTTATCCATTGGGTAGAGTAAGTGATATTCTTTAAATATCCACAGGGGATGGGTTGGGGATGGATACCCACTAATTTCCCCATATGTTTTGTTTTTTTTTTAAATTCACAACCAAAACTAAATATACATTCAATCTTTTTTCTTTTATTTATTTATTTATTTTTTTCAGGTTCACAACCAACTCTTTTTTTTTTTTTTTAAGATCCACAATCAATACTAAATATACATCCAATCTTTTTTTTTTTAATTATTTTTAAGGTTCACAGCCATTTTTTTTTTTTAATTTTTAAGATTCACAACCAAAGCTATACATTCAATCTTATTTTATTTTATTTGGCTCAACAATAAAATCAAATACACATTAATTAACATTGTCACATTATTCTTGTCAAATTTTATGCATATCTAGAATTTTTTAAATTTATTTAAAAAAAATTAAGGACACTGTCTAGTGTAGGTTTCGGTTTGCTTTTCTATGTTATTTTATTTTGTTGTGTATTGTAATTTTCAGAATGGTTTGCTTGTTCTGAAATTTCAATTAACGAGTATGAAAACAAGCATGAGTTGTGATTGGTTAGAAATGATGGGTACATAGATTTATTTGCTAGAAAAACAAAAAGGGGATACAAAGTCATACTAAATAATTTTTTTTAAATTAAAAGAATTTTTCTTAGTTATGAACAGATTTAACTGAAATCAGCTTGTTTCCCAATGTTATGCTTCATTTATTTAGATAGAAAATATTTTTTAATGAAAAATATTTTTTATAAAAAAAATTCAAAATATATTTTTTTATATTTGGTGGTGGTGGTGATGGAACGAAGGTGAAAGTAGAAATTGTTACATAGTGGTGGGGTGATGGCGGCAGTGATGATGGTAGTGGCTATGGTGATGGTAGTGTGACAGTGAAAGTGAGAATAGTGGTGATGGTGTTGTGAAATTAGATTTTGGATAAATTAAAATGAATTGTTCAAATTTGCTAAGAGAAAGATGGTTTAATGTCTAAATTGTCCGTGGCTAACAATTCCTTGTTTATGCCCTGATGCAATTTAATATGAGTCTTATAACACTTTCTTCAAACAAACTTTTTGATTTTCTCAAAATTATATATTTGATTATTATAAAACAAACTTTTTAATTAATTAATTAATGTGTATTTGATTTTGTTGTTGAACCAAATAAAATAAAATAAGATTGAATGTATATTTAGCTTTTGTTGTGAACCTTAAAAAAAAAAA